TTCCTTTTCTTCTTTTTCCTTTCTTCTCCTGTCAGCTCTAGGGAGAGGTGCTGTCCATATGACCAGTCAGTAAATAGCTTACATATTTGAGGAAGATTTCTGGACACACTCACCAGAAAACTAACAGTGATAACCTCTGAGGAGTTGGAAAAGGGCCAAGTGGGAAAGGGGCCTTTTCCTTTTCGCTCTATACACTCTTGTGCTATTTGAATTTTTTCCTTTCATAATAAAAACAAAGAAAGTGACAGCAGGGCGGAAGGCTGAAGCAGGAGGCAGGCCCTGTGGAAGGGTCATCCTAAGTTCAAAGCTGGATATGAAGGAGAGGCCCAGCCAGGGGAGGAGGCGCCAGGCCCCTGAGTGAACAAAGCTTCCTCCTCCAGGGAAAACCTCACCATGATGGGATGACAAATAGCTCTTCTCCTGCCACCCTGCAGAGCTCATGGCTGTGAGTCCCGGCTGAGGCTGCCACTCCGAGGGGAGCTGGGGATAAAGGACTGCATCATTCCGAGGGACTCCCTTGTTAAGAGCAGGGAGCACTATTTGAGTTGAAGAACACCATCCTTTCTCACGATCCTCATCCTGCCAAAGCCCACATGCGCTACATTCAACACATGATGTTGTTTCTAACTGGGCCTGATACTGGCTTTTTTCTGAGCAAAGGCACGCAGGAAGCAATGGAGAAAAGCCCTGTGTCCGTTCAGCCAAGCCCAGCCTTGATACATGTCCACTAAAATGATAGCTCCCGCTGCTCATGGGTCACAGGAAGTCTAAACAGACGGAAAATGTGAGCGGAATGATCCAGGGCCACGCAGATCTGAATCCCTCCACCTCTCAGACTGCGAGAGACGGGGGAGCCATTTCAAGTGGTTGTGGACATGGATGGCAATGTCCACAGGGCCCAGACCAGCGACACCAGGCCCTCTGCAGCTGGTTATAGTTCTCGCCGTTGTTACGGGGAGACGCAGGTACAGAGACGCTTCTTCACCACAGAGTGGTGGTTCTCGAGCTTTGTTTCCACCAGAACCACCTGGAGGGCTTACCGAAACACAGACTGTGGGACCTACTCCCAGGGCTTGGGGCTCAGTAGGCCAGAGGTGTGGCCAGAGAATTTGTACTTCACAGAAGTCCCCCGGGCTGCTGCTGTGACTGCTGTGGGACCCACGGCTGGAAGGGAACCCACAGCGCAAACTATGACAAATGCCATTTGACCCTCGACTTTAGGTAACAGGGTGGGATGAAGATTGGCAAAGTGGACAGCCTCTCGGGAATAAACACAGGGGTGCCTGGTGTTTCTTCATGCTTGTGTGTGTGTGTGTGTGTGTGTGTGTTTGGGTAAGAACAGCCTTGAATTTTCCTATGAAATCTTACCGTCTCGGGCAGTCACTGGCAACTGACTCTGAAATTTTTCAAACTTGGTGCAGGCCAAACAAAACACATGTGCAGGCCGGATTTCACCCTCTGGCTGCTGGTCTGGAATACAGATAAGGTTCCCATGGAGAGGAGGCAGGATCACAGACCTCCGAGCTGGCCTCTGGGCCTTTGGGAAGGGCCGGCTGCCTGGCCGTGTCTCTGCACCAGGGCTCGCTGTGGCCTGTCGGGGTTGCTTCCTGTCGGGGTTGCTTCTAGGCTGCTCTCAGGTCCTCAGCATTCTCCTCCCCTCCACCCCTGCCCCACCTTTCACGGTCCAGCTACAGCAATGCCTTTGCAGACGGCACCACTCTCTCTCCCCCACCCCCCCAACAGGCCTTTTCTGACCTCTGGACCTTTGTGCCTGTGGTTCCTTCTGGAACACTCTCAGCCCTTTCTCCACATTTGCCCTAATTCTTACTTGTCTTTCATGACCTCACTCAGCTATCACTTCCTCCAGGACCTTTCCTGACCACTGCTCCCACCCCTAGCTCTGTGCTCCTCAGCCCACTGTGTTCCCATCATGCACTGGGCTGTAATCGCCCAAAGAAGTGTTGTCTTCTCCCTTGGCCTGAGCACCCTAGAGGCCTTGCATGTCTTAGAGACCCCAGGGTTGAGCCCGGTGCCTGGTGTGGGACAGCTCTGAAACGTCCTTTACTAAATGCTTTGGCCGTGGCCTTTCCCTCATCCTCTTTCTATTTGCCTGGCTGCTCCCTGCCTGTCCTTCGAACCACAGCTCAGATTTTGCATCCTGTGGGGAGGGAGTCCTCCTCTGCCCCCATCAGCACATGTCACACTGCAGTGCGCCTCGCTGCTCCGGCCTGCCTCCCTCACGACTGAGCTCTGTGGGAGCAGGAGTCATGTGCGATCCATCTCACTGACACACAGGTGGCAAAGACAGAGTAAGCACCAGGAGATGCTGGTAGTACCTGGAGAGGAACAGAAGAATACATGATCCCAGGTGAGAATGAGACTCCTGCAATGTGCTGGGACCAAACTCCTCCAGGCCACTGCCCTGCGATGACCTGGCGGGGCCCAAACATGGAGCACAAGGGGCAGTGGTGAAACTTCTCTGCAGCTCTCACCTCGCCCAGGACCCCAGGGACCCTCAGGGACCTCAGCCAGAGTGACTTGAGCAGCTCTCCTTCCTTACCCTCTGGCTCGACGACCGCTACAGTTTGATCCTTAGCTCTGCTTTCATGGTGGTGCAAAGCTCAACACCATCTAGCCAGGTAGCCTAGAGAGACCACTGCTCTGCTCAGGAGGTCGAGGGCAGGCCTGAGAAGAGCAAAGCAGAGGGGCTGTCCCCTCCCGACAGCTGATGACAGGGTGGGTAAGTGACTGTCTTCTGGGGAGTGGGTTTCCCTGAGCCCTGGGGCAGGTACCACGAGTCTAGCTCAGTTTCATCTAGTTTCCCCAGCTGCCTGGCTCCCTGGTATATTTCCCGACTGTAGACCCGATTCTGGATTGAGAAGAGAAGGTGGCCATTGCCCCTTCCTTTGGGTCCCAAGCACTCCCTTCCACCCTTTCTTTCTCTCACAATTACATGCAGAAGTCGCCTCCTCCAGAAACCCTTTCAGGGTCCCCTCCTCCCAGCCCATGCTTCCCTTTGCCAGCTCTGAGCACACCATGCAATAACTGTGGGTGGGTTCCTGGGCACAGGCCTGTGACTTGCTGTCCTGTCCTGGGCCTGCTGTGCTGGTCAACCTGGCAGGGAAGCATGATTTGTGGTGCAGGGGTTAACCCAGATCTTGTCTCTGTCACTCACAGAACCTCCCCAAGGTCACGTTGCAAAACTCCTGGGGTGAGATGAAGAAGTGAGTTCATATAAAGCTGGAGTAGCACCTGGCCAATGGTAAGCACTTGATGAGTATTTGCTAGAATTACGGGGCGATCAATAAATGTTTCATGCATTCATGGGTGAGGGAGGCAGGGGAAGTAGTGACAATCCCAGCCAAGTACAAGCCAGCACATGCCTGAGTTGCAGTAACCCAAATAAAGACATGTTTGAGGTGTTCTGTGAGTACCCCAAGAGCGAGCTGGGGACGAGGATTGTTCTTACAGAGCAGGGTTTCAAGCAGTGCCCAGGAAGCGAGTCTAGGGCAGAGGGAAGGGCAGACCCTGTCTGGAGGTCTCCTCTCCCATTGTGAGCCTCTCCCAGCAGATTAAAAGGCCTTGAGACTTGTAAAAGCTCAACGTGACATTTCC